AAGTTTGTTAAAGATAAAAATAGCGTCCCAAGCGTTTAACCAGGTGTGTAAATGTGTGTGTGAGGGGGGGGGGGTCATTTTATGTGTAACTTTAGTGCCCAGGGACAAAAAAAATTCCAAAATGTATAATGCTTTCTTTATTATCACAGCAAATAAACATTTCTAATAAATATTTTCTGATAAGTATGAAAATGCTATTTCTGCATGTTTGTACAGTGTTACAAAAGCAATTATTTAATGAGAGGTCATCATCAAAGAAAGGAAAAAATAAATGTTAATAGGGATGCCATTTATTTTCCTCTTCACCAAACCTCTCTCATTCTGAGTCATCCAACCTTGTTGAGGTATGTTTTACCTTTCACTAGTACTTGTATCAAAATATCTATGTCTTCTCTTCAATGCTTGCTTTGTGTGTCAGCCATATTGACATTGTACAAATGCCACAACTGTACAAAGAGCTGAGGGTAGATTCATTCTGATAGAGACCATCTTTCTTGTTTTGTCATGCCCCATCCATTTCCTACTGGTGATGGTAGATTCAGATTCTGCCCTGTTGTGTGGGTCCAGATATAAGCCTGGAAGTTAGTACACTGAAGGTGCTGCTGGAAGGCATCTGTGGTTGGAGGAAGTTTGTTACTTGATCAAGTCCCCTTACGCCTGACATAGATTTGCAATTTGAAGGTTGTGGATTAAAATCCCCTCCCTGAATATACTTGCCCTTTCAGTTATGGATGTGTTATAATGTGACGGTCAATCCCACTATTCATTGGTAAAACAATAGCCCAAGAGTTGGTGGTGGATGATGTTGACTAGGTGCCTTCCTTCTAGTCCATCACTGCTATATTAGGGATGGCTATTGCAGATAACCCTTGACTAGTTTTGCATGAAATTCAAAACAAGCAAACAAGTGTCCTTTGGGAAGAGCTCATAATGCACTTTGTTAAGAAAGCTACAATATTTGCCACTGTATACCAGAAAAATGTATGTAACACAAGCTATTTCTGCTTCTTTATCCACCTGAGAAGCTCTGGATGAGACACTACCATGTCATCCACCTTTGTTTTCCAGTGCCACAAACAGAACTTGTAGAGTCACACCCACTGAAAGCATGGAGACATAGCAGAGTAACTATAGAAACTGACATGTCCATTCCATTGTCAGTAGCAAGTGTGTGAATGGGAAAGAACTACACCTTGTAACCAGTTACAGTGTCTTAAACTAATTCTAACTATAAGATACAGGATGGCCATTATCCATTATGTAAAAACTTGTTTTAGCTAATAATAGGTGATTAAAACCACGTAGTAACAGTCATTTATAGTTCTGACAACAGCATATTGATATCTGGTTCCAGTATTCTAAGTATCATACAATAGTTCGAGCATACAGATGATATTTATTGAAACAGTGTGCTAAAATTTGGACTTAAAGTATCATATTTTCTTACATTTGGGATTTAGTCTTATATCACATTGTTTCCTTTCTTAAGAATACTTCTATATGCTAGATATTCATAATGTGTTTGGAATATGTTTAATCAATTAGATGATTTTCTGATACAAAAATAACAACATAAAATTATTATCATCTAACTAGAATCTTGTACGACAAAATTTGTCTTATTATATCACTATGTACATAACTGACACACTTAGATGTCAATCTGTTGTGTAAAACTTTAGCTTCCTGAAAAAACTGCATCATTCCTGGCATCTACATCCATCATGGTATTTATTCTCAGTGGTGTACTTAAAACCATGGGACCACTAAAACTTCTTGTGGATTGATTGTGCATTTCACCCATAACCTGTCCTAGGCTGATAGAATATATATTACGTAAAACTTAATTGTGATACTTGAAGTTCACCTTCTAAATCTACTATGCTTTTTATATTTCTTCCTTTTTTTTTTCTCAGAAGCTGAACATGGTTATGCATCAACATTGTCACTTTCTCGTGACCTCAGACACAGGAGAGCAGTTTCAAAAAAGTCACACTCACAAGGACACTTTAACAGGTGAATATATTGATTAATAGGCTTGGAATACCCAAATTTGCAGAAGTTTGTGAAAATATTTCCTTTTTCGTATTACTGATATCAGTCAGTGTTACATTTAAAGTTGTGAAGAAATGCAAATAGTACATTTTTATAGAAAGAAGAAAGTTATAAAATAACATATATTAATAATAATTCTTAGAAAAATGTACCAAATGAATTAAGACCGGGATTGAAAGAACTTAATCATATCAACCATTCTTTGAATATGGCAGGATCAACACTTCTTTACGATAAAGCTTTTTGTAACTTCCTTTAGTGATTCTGACATTATTTTTTTCTATTGAATAATTTGAAAAATTATAATGAACCTTGTGGTTTTGAAAGTTTCACATAGTTTAGTTCATTATTGTTGAAAAAGTTGATGAATCCTGCTATTTACACAGTTTCACATTTTTGATTCTTGTCATTGTAAATTGACAGACAATGATTTTGTTAGATATACACAACTGTTTCAATTGAAATTTAGTGCGAGTGTTATGATTTAGATGGTTTAAGTATTTTGCAAGTGTTAAATTTAGTTATGTTTAGAAGCAATAGTTTATTGCAGTTTGTTTAGGTAACTGTGTAAGAATCATATGATGTGTAGTTCAGTTGTTGTGAATTGGCACTTGTATTATTGTGTTATGTCACTACAATCTTCTAACTTTTTCTCATTGTTTGGATTGAGTATTATTGCATCATAATATCTCATAGAGGAAGAACATTCTCGGCCTCTGTTGTGTTATAAATACATGTCCAAAATTTAGTTCGAGTTAGTTAAATAGATAGTTATATCTAGACTGCGTGATTATGAGTTTAGTCAATTACAGTATATAGGGGCAATTTTGAAAGTGAAATTTTCTCAGATTTTATTGTAATAACAGAGTAGAGAAGAATAATTTGTCTTGTCAAATTGTGTTGTAAAGTTAACTGAACCAACCTGTGTGGACTTTCATGAAAAGAGACAATTATTTAAAGCTCTGGATACAACTGTGATAATCTAAAGTATAAAGAACATTTATATATATGTTTCACTTGTTTTAATATATTATTTTAAAACAAGTAGACTGTGGGCTGTTTGTTTATTGTTGAAATGTATTGCCAACAAGTCACAGACATCTGCTGTAAAGAATCTGACCATACATACACAAAGACCTGACAGATTTATAAGCATTATGAAGTGGTTTTGTTTTGGGGGAATAAATTGCATGTTCTGTCAAAACATGTAGTATGTTCCTCTTAAGTAAAACCACTTCATTATAGTCATAAATTGATATGTGCCAATTTACAATTACTTTAGTATAATGTGCTTCCTACACAAGATTATCATCATTGTTGTTGGATTACCTGTCTTGATAACTTTGCACAGTGTAATTCGTTATTCTTAAAAGTTTTGTTGGACCACATAGTCATGAGATTTTTCCATAGTCTATTTCTTCATGTTCACAAGCATTGTAAAGAAAATATAAAAAAAATATAATGAAATTATATTTGGTGCATGAAACAATACTTATGTTTTATGCTAATTCAAGTAAATTGTTAATGTTAACAGTTTGTTAGTTTTAATTTTTTTTTCAGAACAACACATAATGAGTTGGAAAAAAACAGGTATGTTGCTCATATTTTTAAATATATTTCACTGTTTCCTCCTCAGTGGTGTTAAGGTTATTTTGCTTCGATTAGGCTGTAGTCAGTAAGGACAGGTGTTTTTTCTTTAGTCTTCTGTAATGTGGTAAATTATTCTGAAATCTTGTGTGTGCCTGGCCTTCCATTAAAACTTAAAATATCAAGTTTTTAATAAATCTTAAACGTGGTTTGTAGATGCTTCTTCTTAACATCATCATAAGTTTTCACAAGCACTGGCATTACTTTTGCTGCTGTATGTTTAAAGGTATATACTAATATACTCATAAAAGGCTAAATGTTGTATTACACAAATGAATTATGTAAATTGGAATATTGTATAACGGATGAATATATAATATTCTATGATAATTTTTTAAAACTTGTTTATATTGAAAATATAATTTTTGCTGTTTAAAAATGGAAGAAACTGCATATATAACTGATATTTGAATTACATGTATATTAATATTTTTTATCATTCCCTTTTTAGTCTTTTTTACTACATTTCTGCTTACAAGTATATGATATATTTTCAGATAAGAGGAAATAGTTATTAATATATATGATTTTATTATCTTTTTTTATTAATATGATGTTCTTGTACGTCCTGTGAACAATTGTAAATGCAAACAATTTATGCCAGAAAATTACTTGTACATCTGATATTACCAAACTTATAACAATATCGTTATTGTTTTTTGGGAAATATCAAACAATTTATTGCTGAAATAACGCATTTCCATAGAGTAATAAAACTTTTTTATAGGCCAGCAAACAAGTGCACACAAAAAACAGTACATATTCATTGACATACATGTGTGTGTGTGTGAATTTTATTCCACAGTCTTTGACAATCCATCTCTGTTATTTATTACTCTGAAGATTGAAATTTCCTGTCCATTTTATTGTTCAGGATAAGTTCATACGATATTTATTTTTTTTTTTATGGTGCTGAGCCTGTAATATTGTTTCAAGTCATAAGTAATGTGGTACCTGTAATTTCCTTGCTGTGATGTACATTGTGAAAGCAACTTTCATTGTTCTGTTTTATGCCCCTTCATAAATATACTTCATTATAGCACATCTGATTTGTTTTAAAACTTATTAACTGTGAAACATTTTGATGGGTAGAGTAGTTTAACTTGTTGACCTCCAAAAGACCTTTTTTTCAATCTAGATTGCTCCACTATTTTGTTATTTTAATATTGTTTGAAAACAAAACCCCTCAAAATCTTATTGTTTATGGGTACTTTATTTCTTAAGTTTGATTTTATTTTCCTGTATGTAAAATGAGACTTGTTGGCATTTATTTGAAATATACAACGGAAGCTTTCACATATTTAGTGTTGTCTCATCTCAGAAATTTATTTCCAAAATTCCCAACTGTTCACACTGAAGTTAAAAAATATGTTTGATAGTTTTATACCTAACTGATAAAGGCTTAATGAAATAACTTTACCTTTTTTTGAATTTTTTTAACTTGTGTGTTTTATTTTTGTATATGTGAACCACACAGTCAAAGTAGCAAAATTGACAATTCAATTTAATAATTTAAACAAAATCACAATTTGTCACTTTTAGACATAATCAAGCCTTTGATCCTTAATATGTTTTTAAAATGATTTTAAACTTATAGTAACAAGTTAATTAAAGAATCTTGGACATAAACAGTTGAATATTTGATCTTGATGGTAAGAGATTCTTTGATACATGAGCTTCTTTCATTAAAAGCTGAAAAGAAATGTAAAAACATATGCTAAGACTCATGAGTAGCTGTAATTTAAGAGCAACAAGGGACCCGTTTGTTTATTATGCCATCCCACCCTTTAAACTAAATCAAATGTTAAAAAAGGCCAACTTGAAATCAGCCCTTATCATTCATATGTTTATCAAGACTTCATTTAAACACCCTTAAATTCTCTGTATCCATCACATCTGAAGGGAACCAATTCCAATGGCCAACCACCTCGATAGAAAAATAAAACTGAATAGGTGATGACAATTCACTAATTCTTGGACTAAAGCATCAGGTAGTGAAGCCATTGTAGCCTTTTGAACATAAAGGATGTGTATTTGTAGAGAAATAGGATTCAATAATTTGGAAATTTTATCTTTATAAAAAAAAAAAAGATGCAATGTCCAAAAGTTCTTTTTTTCTGATGAACGCAAAAGTAAAATAAGTTTTTTGAAGTGATTGTCTGATGCTGGAGATTTCTAGTTGAAACAAAGAATTCTTTTATTTTCTTTCTGATTAAGCATATTTTATTAGAAGTTACAGCTTTTACAGTAAGTAAGTAAGTAAGATTTGTTTTTAGAACAGGTATGATGTTTTGATCATTGATGCAATCGTTCTCATGTAACTAGTAAAATAATTCATTTGTTGTTAACATTACTTGCACTTTCCATGATTATTTATGTTCTAAAGACTATAAGTTCAGAAAATATAAAATATAGTTGTTTAGGTGCTGTTAGATACCATTAAACATAGCTATCCTTGATACAATTAAATCTGCTTATTCGTATGTTGCTATAAAAAACCAAAATTGGTTGTCTGTATTATATTTGAAAACAAGACCAAGCTTGGATATTTCTCTGTTGTCAGAAAAGACCAAGTTTGGATATTCAATTTGTTTAATAAGATCTAACATTGTTCATACTATGTACAACCAAGACCATACTTAGTTGTCTGTAATATGTTGTGTTTCACAAGACCAAGCTTGAATACTCATGTGCTGTCTGATAAGACAATTTGGTTAGGTATTATTGGAAAAGATCACCCTTGGTTGTCCATAATATGTTGTGTTTCACAAGACCAAGCTTGGATACTCATGTGCTGTCTGATAAGACAATTTGGTTAGGTATTATTGGAAAAGATCACCCTTGGTTGTCCATAATATGTTGTGTTTCACAAGACCAAGCTTGGATACTCATGTGCTGTCTGATAAGACCAAATTTGGTTATGTATTGTTGGAAAAGACCATACTTGGTTGTCCATAATATGTTGAGTTTCATAAGACCAACCTTGGATACTCACTTGCTGTCTGTTAAGACTGAACTTGGCTGTTTATATTTTTTTGAAAATGACTCTTACTATAATATATTGTTAGACAAGACTTATTTGGATGTTTCTGCATTCTGAAAAAATTATGCTATTTTTTCAATAAAATATTTTTATATAAGACCAGCTTTGTTAAGTGTGTGATATGTTACTTCTAAAATAAATAAAAAAGTTCATATGTGGTTATGCAAGGCTAAACATAGTTGTGTATAGTATATTGTCAGACAAAACCAAATTTGAATGCTAATATGTTGATTGAAAAAGTCAAACAATTTTTCATGCATTCTAAGAAAAAACAAACCTGATTGTTGTCATGATAGTATATTGTTAGATGAGACTGATATAGGTTTTTCATATATTGCTAGCAATGTTAACATTACTATTGAAAGGAGAGGGAAATCCACTTTTACTTAAATAATAATAAAACTTTGAGGACAGCTATTGAGTGGATTATTTTATAAAAATAAAATAATCCACTCAATAGCTGTTCTCAAAGTTTTATTAATGTTAACATTAGTTGTCCATAGTATATTATTAGACAACACTATCTTCATTTGTGCAGAGTATGGTGTCTGCAAACAAACCAAATATATTTATCCATTATATTTTATTTCAAGACAATACTAAATATTGGGTATTTATAAAATTTTGTTTCTGGGCAACACTCTTTTTTATTATGTGGCTAGACAAAACGTTTTTTGCTCATATTTCATTAGATGTGACTAAATACATATGTTCATAATACCTTCTTTATGGAAAAGATCACACTTGGCTATATATTAGGTGATGCCTGATGTTTTTGACAGTTACTTTGGATCCCCACAATATATAGATTGTAGACAATGAAAACTTGTTATCAATAAGCATTTCCTGTAAACTAAATACAATTCTGTACATTTTGTGTATAGAATAATAGAAGTTATTTTTTTAGTTATTTTGCACGTATAATTCATAGATATACAGTTTTGTTTAAGATAGTATAAAAGCACTGTTAGAGTGTAACAAATAATCTGTGTATAGTATGACCGCTGAGTGTTTTTAGTGACCGATTATTCAAGTCTCACTCAAATAATGTTTTACTAACTGAAAACTTACGTAACCTCTCATACCATCACGCGACATTTTTTTTCATTTATGTCTCGATAAAGAAAAGACTCCACATGTACACTCAGTAACTAGTGGTCTCAAACAGAATCGTACGAACACTGTATGGGTATACAAGTGTACACATGTAACTTAACGACTGCTTACTACCAGCAGGAAATCCATTTCCTATCAGTAAACAACTTATCATGAACCAAAGCAGTCTGAACAGATATAACCCAGAAATGTTAACAGATTTTTAACATTAATCAGAGAAAAAAATAATTTCAATTGGTTATTCAAAAACTTTATCTAATTAACAGTTACGTGTAACTGAATGAAATACATACAAATCTGGCAAGATAGATTTACATGTAATAACTGAATGTATATGGTAACAATCACATTATTCATTCAGTTCTCTCAACACTTTTCAAAAGCTAATTTATATGTTCCATACTAAATGGCTAATCAGAGCAATATACAGGTAAGTGTTCATTTTGGCCTACAAACTGCTTGTGCTTACCTTCAGGCTTCTAATTTTAAATGCGGTTACATCAGCAAATGTACATCAACACTACAGCTAACAAACAACACGCTGTGTTGTCCGACATAAGACCCGCTGAATCGAGTTTTTAGCCAGAACTAGAATTTTATTTGTATGGTAACTAGCAGAATAATAATAATCACGTTAAATGCATTTATAGTTATTACAAACTTAGTATTTTCTATTTGCCTTCAGATAATTAAAAAAAGACAGCTCGCATTTGGTAAAACCAATTGTCATAACAATCTCAGAACTGCTTTAATACTTAAAGTACTCCGGACAGATTTTGGTTTAAGTTTTCTTCGTCTTTCGAAGCTATAGACATTAATATAAACACAGCTGCTCATATTACGTTACTTACTTTAATTGCACTTGTATTCTGTGAACGAAGTGTCATTGTTATTATTTTCAACCACAATTTTAAGTGGAACAATTCATGAATACTTTGTGTTGCTATTTTAAATATAGGGTTAAAGTTAAACACCAGCACTGCCGTTTTCACATTTCAACAGAATTTTACACTTGTTTATTTCAAAACGGTTTGTTGTTATATGAATATCATGTTCTGAATTGGATATTACTGATATAATCTGTGTGTTACTGTGTCGAATGTGACTTGTCCATGTCTGTCTATATTCTGTTAGACTTACCCAAACCAACTATAAACTTTCAAAAATAACATGATGTTGAGAGTAGCTCTGTAACAAGGATTTATTTTTGTCTTCACTGGAGCACTCCTAATTGAGATTTGAACCGATGCTGGAATTTTTATATTGTTTTGACAAAAATTTTTAACAGTAAATTACATGCAAAATAAAGTTTGAAATAAGCTTTTTTAGTACTTGTGTTTTCTGATTAAATTAATTTTGAGAAGAATGACTGGAATGAAAAGAAAAAACGATCTAAAAGTTCCTTTTAATATTTAAACAGAATATTCGGTTAAGCGGATCAGCAGTAAAGAGACCTCGCGAACTCCATCGATGTTGTGTTTATAAAAACAATCGGTCGAAAGTAGATCGGCAATAAAGCCACCATATGGAATGACACGTTAAGTTTACATAAAATATATGTGATACGATACGCAATTCAGTAATAGTAAATGGTGAGAAACAGAAATTAAAACAAAATGATATATCGGACTTGAAGTTTGAAAGCTTAGTTACCAGGATTCGTCTCTCAGTAGAAGACGTTGCTTATCAAACAAAAACATCTCATTAACGCTGAGTAGCTAGTATAATATAAGTACAAGCTTGCACGCTTTTTATTCATATGAATGTTCAACATTGTCCACTAAGTAGTTGCTATAATATATTTTTTGACAATAAGAGTAGGAATTGTTTACTGCTTGACTGATGTGGTAGGGAGTGTGTTTTCCTTATATTATCAATTATAATACTTACAGATACATCAGAATAGTTATGGTGTGTTTTTTTTGTTGTTGTTGTTTATTAAGAACAAATGTTTTATCCTACTTTATTAGAGACATTATTTTTCCACTAATTTTTTTACTACGAGAAAATAGTAAGCGACATTTATAACAATGTTTTGTTTAAACCAAATTACTAACACTTATAAATATGTATGTATATTGTGTAATTTTTGTGTGTGTGTGTCTACGTCAACACACTGTTTGTTCTGACGTGCCTGTTATCACGTGCTTCAAGCATGAATTAATCTAAATTCACTGTAGCTCGTGTCAAAGAGGTCATTTACCCCATATATGGTATACCATCTTCCTTGAAGTATAAATATGGAGTTGCTTCGTGTATAAAAAACATTAATTTAGCAGAACGTGTTACGTCATCAGTAAATTATAATAATATTAGAAAGTATCGTGGAAAGGGTGTCGAACACACAAATTTAATTAATGTATTTACTGATCTACAGCGTGTAACAAGTCACCTTTCCAGTTCAAATAGTTTATACGATGTGCGAAGTTCATGTTTATAGCGTAAATTCTGTGTAGTGAGTGACACATAATTTTGCAAAATATATTTGTAAACATGTGACCAAACAGGGAAAAAAGTACTTAGATCACTACTCAAAGTAGATGATCTATAACGTTCAACAAGTCACCTTTCGAGATTTGTAAAGTTTATATGAAGATGTGTGAAGTTATGTTTATAGTGTAAATTCACACGCTGTGAGTGAGTAGAAAATGTTTACATGTGGCACAAATGGAAAAAAATAGACCATTACTCGAAGTAGACCACTCGTATAGAGCTGTAACCATGGTGTGAAGACACAGGTTTTGGTCAGTTTGTGACCTCGAATTTTAACTTTAAACTCGCAAAGGAATCGATGCCTAATCTACATTTTCAATGACATACTTATTTGAATGAGATCTCCACTATTTGACTGACGTAAATAGTTGGATCGTTTTCGAGGTCATTATTACACGCGTTCAAATCGGAAGTGGTTAGCTGTTTTGCTTTAAGAATAAAACTCATCTGTTTTTGTTTTTCAATTTCAACTACGATAGTATATAACCCGAAAAAGGTGTAAATAGAAATACTATTGAAAGTGTGACATCAAAGCATACTTCTCACGTTAGGTAACAAGCTAAAGACTACAGTTTCATGTATGTCGCCTCCTCACATCAGCCTAGAACATGGTTTGGTGTTGTTTTTAGATAGAGCCACTCAATATTTTGCGCTCATTCCGTTAATAACTTGAGATTATTCAGCTTTCTCGATAAAATTAGTACCCATAATATGTTCATATTGTTACGTATCTACTTGTTTGTTTGTTTCCGGTAGAAATTCTATCTGAGGATCTTCAGCGATACAAATCCTTTCTTGATTAAACCAGTTTCTTCCTCGATACAAACTTTTAGTACACAGTAGTTCCACAATCAGTATGTTTCTCGTCACTTTAAACTTAACAACTTTTATAATACACGCTATAAATCACAGCGATTCACAATCTCGATAACTTCGCTCTCGACGAGTGCAAAACACACACTTTATGGCTCACTAGCTCGAAACTAATAGAATCATAAATTACACGGAACTCCAAAGTAACTGCTGTTCTCTCTTCATTCATACCCGCTGGCTTTCTCTGCCAGGTTTATATACTAACGAAGCGGGCATCTCGAAAACACTCTGACTTCCCCGATCATTCGAGAAACTCATCACTCACGCTACCAGCGCCAGCAGAGTCACATGACTTCCGCTGTCGTAACAATATCAATTAACTGGGAACTTATCAGTATGCTGTACTGTCGCGGATTTAGACTTTGTTAAGACTGTTGTTTATCAAATGGCAAATTGGAAATATGAATGTCGACAAATCTTAAAACACGAATATCAACAAATCTTTAATCTGACTGAAGTTGTTATTGAATATTTCTTACATACTGTGTACTTGATTAATATTATTATAGTTAATATTTTATGAAGTGCTTTACGCTACGTTTAATCGTTTTAATTTAACTGCAAAATGCTACGTCGTTATTAAGATAAAGCTTTTCTTCAGGGATTATTGTAAATACTACTGTAGTTAAATTATACACAGATTTTCATATAATTATTAATTTGTGTATACTTAACTCGTTGGTCAGGTGTCTGTTCGGAGGTGGCAGTGTAGTGTGAGTTGTGATTAGATATAACTTGTACCAGCTGTCAAAGTAAATAATTTTGGTTATAATCTATAATCCATTTATATATTAATTGATTGAAATTTACGATATACATTTTCCAAATTCTAAGAGTTATAAAATCTTTGCATGGATGAATTCCATTAACTTACAGACGTGCACATCTCCGGGACTGTATGGAAAATCTGAAGGAAATGGTACCTCTCGATCCTGACTCTAGTCGACACACTACATTAGGGCTACTGACCAAAGCCAAGTTGTTTATCAAAGTAAGTAATTTAAACACATTTTTAAATTTGGGATTCGTCATTCAATTTCTTTCTATTTTTATTGAATAACAAAAAAACTGTTCACTAGATAATTTTCATGACTTGATAAATAGACCCTTCTGTCTTGGCTCATCCTGTAGTATTATAGAGTTGCAGCTTATAGGTTTGTTTTTTTTTAGACCCAATACTTCTATATCTATATTAAACTTCTATTGATAATCAGGATCTGGCGTAAAAATGTTGTTTATTTTAGAAATTAAACATATTTTTTTGTTGTTAAACAGGGTCTGGAGGAGAGGGAAAAGAAACAACAAGTGCAAAAAGAACAACTCCTGCGAGAACAGCGCTACCTGAGACGTAGACGGGACCATTTAGGAGCAGCTATTGTCAATCTGAAGAGAGGAGGCACCAATGCGTCGACATCTGTTTCAGAAAGCTCGCCATCACAGTCAGGTAATTATACTTCCAAGTGTTCCTCGTAGAAAAAAACAACAACCTTACTCTAGGTCTAAGAAGAAGATAAGTATAGGGAAGCACAGACGGTAGAAGAAATGCATATTTGGAAGCAACTTACTTGCTAT